CCCCCCTATCACCACATGGAGTTTGAGCTGGACGTGGTGTGTCTGTTACCGGAAACGGAACGTCTGTTGAATGGAGAGGTCCCGCGGAGGGGGAAGGAGGCTGCGGACCTCCGGGGGAACGTGGCGGAGCAGCGGGTGAGTGACCGAGTCTCATACGTAACCATGGGGGAGTCCCACCACGCGGCACTGACCCTCCTCTATGTTCCCCAGGTGTCCGTGGACTGTCCGTGGTCCATCTACTCCACCATCATCAGTCTGACCTTCCACCTCCCGCTGAGGGCCCATCACGCCCTACTGTCCTCCGGAACAAGGTGAGCGCCCGGCGAGGCCACGTCCTCCATGTCACCTCCTCCTGACCTCCATGTCTAGCGTTGTGTGACCTCCTCTTCATTCCTCCAGGAAATATATCCAGATCCGTGTGGAGAACATGTGTGACTTCAACTTCCAGTTATCGAATAGCTGCCTCACCTCCTCCCAGGACCTCCAGTTCCTCGCCCTCCACTCCCAGGACAGCCAGGTAATAATGGCGCTGAGCTTCCACCCCTCCCCCCGCCTTTCCTCAGAGAGCTCTTCCATTGCTTCTACCGGCCTCCATGACCTGCTCTCCTCTGGAGTGGTCTACCGGCCTCCATGACCTGCTCTCCTCTGGAGTGGTCTACCGGCCTCCATGACCTGCTCTCCTCTGGAGTGGTCTACCGGCCTCCATGACCTGCTCTCCTCTGGAGTGGTCTACCGGCCTCCATGACCTGCTCTCCTCTGGAGTGGTCTACCGGCCTCCATGACCTGCTCTCCTCTGGAGTGGTCTACCGGCCTCCATGACCTGCTCTCCTCTGGAGTGGTCTACCGGCCTCCATGACCTGCTCTCCTCTGGAGTGGTCTACCGGCCTCCATGACCTGCTCTCCTCTGGAGTGGTCTACCGGCCTCCATGACCTGCTCTCCTCTGGAGTGGTCTACCGGCCTCCATGACCTGCTCTCCTCTGGAGTGGTCTACCGGCCTCCATGACCTGCTCTCCTCTGGAGTGGTCTACCGGCCTCCATGACCTGCTCTCCTCTGGAGTGGTCTACCGGCCTCCATGACCTGCTCTCCTCTGGAGTGGTCTACCGGCCTCCATGACCTGCTCTCCTCTGGAGTGGTCTACCGGCCTCCATGACCTGCTCTCCTCTGGAGTGGTCTACCGGCCTCCATGACCTGCTCTCCTCTGGAGTGGTCTACCGGCCTCCATGACCTGCTCTCCTCTGGAGTGGTCTACCGGCCTCCATGACCTGCTCTCCTCTGGAGTGGTCTACCGGCCTCCATGACCTGCTCTCCTCTGGAGTGGTCTACCGGCCTCCATGACCTGCTCTCCTCTGGAGTGGTCTACCGGCCTCCATGACCTGCTCTCCTCTGGAGTGGTCTACCGGCCTCCATGACCTGCTCTCCTCTGGAGTGGTCTACCGGCCTCCATGACCTGCTCTCCTCTGGAGTGGTCTACCGGCCTCCATGACCTGCTCTCCTCTGGAGTGGTCTACCGGCCTCCATGACCTGCTCTCCTCTGGAGTGGTCTACCGGCCTCCATGACCTGCTCTCCTCTGGAGTGGTCTACCGGCCTCCATGACCTGCTCTCCTCTGGAGTGGTCTACCGGCCTCCATGACCTGCTCTCCTCTGGAGTGGTCTACCGGCCTCCATGACCTGCTCTCCTCTGGAGTGGTCTACCGGCCTCCATGACCTGCTCTCCTCTGGAGTGGTCTACCGGCCTCCATGACCTGCTCTCCTCTGGAGTGGTCTACCGGCCTCCATGACCTGCTCTCCTCTGGAGTGGTCTACCGGCCTCCATGACCTCCACTCCCCCCCGAAGTGGTCTACGAAGCCTCCATGACTTCATCTTCCCTGTAGAGCTCTCCTGGCCTCCTCTTTGTTCCTTGCAGCCTCCCTTCACTCCCTCCTGTTGTCTTTCTGTGTTTTCGGCAGGACATCCAGAGTCAGCAATGTCTGTTCTACGTGTGGGAGGTAACGTGGCACAAGGACCTGCCCTTCACCCTGCCGTGCAGCTTCTCCGTCAGCTTCTACCCTCTGCCCCTCCCCCAGAGCTGCGGACATCTCCAGCCCTTCACCTACCTCTTCCACCTGGAGCACTTTTATGTGAGTCGGCCTCATGTCTGTCCTGTGTGGGGTCTCTGGGGTTCCTGTGTGGGGTCTCTGGGGACCTGGAAGGGTCTCTGGGGTTCCTGTGTGGGGTCTCTGGGGTTCCTGTGTGGGGTCTCTGGGGTTCCTGTGTGGGGTCTCTGGGGTTCCTGTGTGGGGTCTCTGGGG